GAAAAATGCTGTATTAGGTCTAGATGATTCTGTAGGAGGGGTAGGGAAAACATGACAAACTCCAGTGGTGTAAAAAGGCTATCAAATCTTCATCGGCCTGAACAGGTTCGGAATGTTCAGGAGGATTAGTGGGGCAAGTTCTGGTGAAGAAGGTTGACCCACATAACAAACAATCTCAGAGAAATCCAACCACGAGTCTCCCCACCTGCAGCCTTTGAAAAATAGTACTAGAGGTATAACACCTGAAGTGGGAACATGAACCTCAGAATTCATTGTAGAAATATGTAAATCAAACAAAAGTGTTTGATGTAAAATATGCGAGTGTGAGAAAAAAAATAAAGACTGGGAAATTAAGTTAAATTAAGATTTCTTCAATGTAAAGAAAAAATAATAATAATGAAGAAATCCCACTTCAGAAATTAAACTATTAAAATCACAATTCACACGAAGAGCACCAAAAGAAAAACATGTCTGAACATGAGTACAGCCAAATGAGAAGTAATAGTTTGGTAGAATTGAATAGAGGGAGTCACATGTGTCATGAGAGTATGTCGCACTCTCATTGGCAGAGGGTTGATGCATGATGATTTGCATGAAAGATGCACTGGAATCAGTTAATTCCAATGGAGAGTAGATAGAAGGCTTGTAGCATGTGTAAAAAATGTTCTTGCATATAGTGGGCAGCACTGAATGATAATAGCTACTATGTACCATATTGGAAATCATCTTACATTACTAACAGCATCATAGAACATTTTTTCAAAACATGATTTGACTAAGAACCAATTTAAAGTTTTTTAGTTTGTGAATGATGGGATGCAATGCTACACAAAACTGCCCAACTTCCAGTTGCTATTTCTTTGCTGGATTATAAAATGATAGATGATGATCCCATAAATGTGCAAACATATTACTGCCACTTTTATTAAATATATATTTCTAAGAACTTACAAGTGAAAGCAAAGAATAATATGCAATAATATTTCAACAACACTATATCTGTCATTTTCGGCACCAACAAAACATACTGAAAAGCTGTTTTTAACATTTGAAAGTAATACTAAGTAATACTTTTTGCACCAGGTTTTAACACTAAATTTGACTCTAATCTCAGTTTCACCTAAAGATTATATATATATTTAAACTGACTTTATAAGCCTCACGTCTCATACTTGCCTTTAACCACAGAATTCATGCCTTTTTTATTTCAACATTATCTTACAAAAACAAGTCTCATTTAACAGTTTTCACTATAGCAAAATAAACTGCATTATTATTGAAAGCCACTGTATCATTATGAAATTTCTGTATATTTATTCATTTTTTTGTATTAACTTGTATTCAGTGGGTATGCAACTGTCACTTTTAGTCATAGCTAAAAATTAAACTTATGTACAGTTTTTCCTCAAAAATTGTGTTGTTCTTTGTGGTATTTTATATAATTTTGCTTTCATATTTATAACTGTTTTTATTTATTGTTTACATACATCGATTTTAATTAGAGTTTTTAATTTTATTACGTGCGTTCATTTTTTCAACATTATATAAGACCTACTTTATGACACTTTATTTAATACTTTGCATCTTCAAAGCTAATTTTTAATTTGTTTATAAATTTATTTATTCATAAACATTTGAGTTTTATTTCCCTGGATTATTTGCTATTTTAGCTTTTTCCACTGTTCTTATTTATCTCTCAACAAGTTTTACATTTTTGCTAATGTATTGATTATTTCACTTAACTTATAATTTAAGGACAGAAACAGATCTATATAACAAAACCTATTTTTATAAGATTATTAGAATTTGTCATCAAAAAGTCTATTTTTTTTAATGGTTATCATTATGAACAACTTAATGGGGTGTCTATGAGTTCAAGTGTTGTGCCATGTTTGGCTAATTTGTTTTTAAGTTATTACAAGGAAAAATGGTTAAACAATTGTCCAGAAAAGTTTTAAACCATTATACTATAGGAAATATGTTGATGATACTTTTGTAGTTTTTAAGAATGAACCTGATAATCAAGAATTTCAAAATTATCTGAACAATCAACATAACAATATTAGATTTACAGTTGAAGAACAAACAGCTAATAGTTTACCTTTCTTAGATACCAAAATTGTTAACTAAGATAGAAGTTTCATCACTAAATGCTATCATAAGCCAACTTTTACAGGACAATATTTTGATAGTATCTTTTGAATTTAAAAAGAACCTAATTCATAATTTAATTCACTGGGCTTATAACATAGTTGGTTCTTTTTCCTCATTTCATGAAGAAATACAAAACAAGGATTTTTTACAAAAAAATAGTTTTCATGTACAATTAATTGATATTGTTATCAGGAATTATGTAAAAGCTTTGAATACTCCAAAAATTAGTAAACAGGTTGAAAATAAAGAAATAGTTTATTGCATTCTACCATATACTGGTAATCATTCTACAGAATTATGGGAAAAAATTAATCTATTCTGAATAACAAAATTTACCCACATATTAAGTTTAAAATTATCTTTAAACCAATGTTTTATTTAAGTATTTATTTTAAACTTAAAGACAGGATTCCTATAATGCATCACTCTAAATTTACATGTCCAAGGTGTAGCCTTGGCTATGTGGGCTCTAAAATATGTTGTCTGAGCTCACATATTAAAAAGCATACACAAAACACAGCATATAATCCATCGTCCATCCTTCACCACCGTTTACAGGACTGTGACACAAATGGCACTTCAAAACACCTTAACATCTTGGAGAGTGTGGATAGTAAAGAAATGCTCCACAGTAAAGAAAATTTGTGGATACACAAGATGCATCCTGAATTAAATGTTCATCAAACAGTGTCACCTTTGCTTCTAAAACTTGTCTCATATCTTCAAAATTTGCTAACCAAAATTATTCCTTAACTCCATATGAAGCAAAACATCAAATTGGGCAATGATCATTTGCCCCCAGATGTTCCCCAATCTCTACCCTATCAAATATTTCTTTATCAGAAGTTAACAATTAATCTGGAATAAACATGGAAAGGGTTAAGCCTTCTATACAGTGCATTGTTGCCAGTGAGAAAGCAACGAGGATTTTGGATTGCATCTACAGGAAGTTATCACTCCTTTGTAAAAATCTCTGGTTATGGCCCACTTAGAATATTGTGTTCAATCTTGGAATTCTTACCACAAGAAGGGCACCGAATTGTTAGAATAAACTGCTTTGGACATGGTAGATGCAAAACAATTAGGAGAGTTTGGAGAAAGGAGTGTGAAGAGTACTTTTGGATAGAGGAAATGTATGATAAGGAATGAGACAGCTGCAATTGGCCAAGGGGCCCCTTGTCCCTTAAATGTTATGTTGGCTCTCTTATATAGTACCTTTTTCATTAAATGATTTTGCAAAGTTTTCATTAATAGACTACATAAGAGTAACCGGTCTATGATTTCTAAAGCAACTCCTGTCACTTCCTTCAAAAATTAGAGTAACATCTCTACAGTTCTTAGGCACCTAACTACTGTCTACTAACCTATGAAAAGTGAGAAAGAAATACAGAGGATTGAAAAGTTAATCTTTGTCTTTCTTTAAAATCCCAGGGAAAATGCTGTCTCATTGTGCTGCTTTATCCATTTTTCACCCTTCAATATTTTTACTTATTATCAATGGATTAAGTTTTATATGATTCAAGTAAATTCTAATATTTCTTAAAGAATGCACGGGTCAAAAACACTGCTACCATTCTCTTTCTTTTTTTAGAAACAGAAGAGAACGTTTAAAAATTTAGCCATCTCACAGTCTTCAGCAGAAATCATGCCACATCCTTTGAGGGTTCAATTCCCATTTTAACATACTGAGCTATCTGTCTTAAGCCATTATTGATTTACAAATTCTTATTTAAGCCAAATCCCCCAATTCTTATAGTTCTGTAAATATTCCATCCTATCTTCCATTTTAAAGTCCTTGAAATTGTGGTATTTATCCTTGATTTCCTCCTTTTATGCCTTTAGTAACCAAATTAGATTGTATTTTCCTTCTTATCGTTTTCGTCTTTTTTTAGAACATGTTTATCCTGACTGTGTAAGTTTGCACAATAGAATGAAAAAGGTTGGAGATGCAGTAATTAAGTTCCAGAATGGACTACTAAAGAGAATAATAAAAACAACATTTAAAACTGAATGAAATTTTCATCAAAACTATAACTGTTAGGCCTAATGAATTGGTTGTTTCAAGTTGATCACTTTCACACCAAAATAATACAGTTTGTGTTTTACACACACACACACACACACAGATTTTAGGCAGACTTAGCTACTACAGGTCCAATTGAGCTGATGTGTGACCTAATAAAATCCTGATTAATGACCTGTGGCAGACTGAAGGTAGGCTTTATGTGTTATTTCCTTTAATTTGTGTATGAAGTAAGTACAAAGGATGTGATAACATCTGCAGTCAAATATGATGTTCAGTGTACTTATTAGGCCTAATGAGTTTTAAGCCAAGTAAAAAAAAATATATATGTTTAGCATCTGGAGTTTTAGAAAAAAGAAAGGAGGAGGTTCTTTTCTTTAAATGACCTCCTTTTAAAAAAAGTTTGCACCAGGTCTTTTTCATGATTGTTGCTTCTTTTCAAAAGGTACATGTCAAACAGAAGTCTTTTTTTGTTTCATTTTTTTCATCAAAACAATACAAAATTTATGACAAGAAAAAAGGCAAAATGAATCAATTGTGTTCATCTCATTTTTTACTCAAAAGTCTTCATTTCTTTGTACAAATGGAAAATGATAATTCAGAAAATGAAAAACAAATCACCAAAAAAGTGGGTGTGGCAGCTGCAACTTTTTACTTAGCCTTACTAGTTTAAGGATTATTACAAAACAACATAATGATAGTTGCTTATTTGCTAATATCCTTTTGATTTATTTGTTAAAATAAATTACTCTAAAACATCAAAAAGCATTAAGTAACAAAACATGTTTGTGCTATTATAAATAGTATTTCAAGATTAATTTACCTTATTTAGATGTGTCTCTGCCACAAGTTCTATTGGATACTTGAAGATGTGAATTATTTTCAGTGTTATTACCATTTCTGAAAAAAAGGATGTACATTAAACTTTTGTTCATTATTTTAGCTATAGAAACATATTGTTGACAATATAATAAAAATAATACACCTATTCTGCTCTTAGTCATTGTAAAGATCATAATTAACATATGTAATGTAGCTGCATAGTTGTTAGGTAATTCAAGGTTTTAAAACCTTGCAAAATTTAATGTTAATAGATGCAAATACAGAGATAATTATCAAAACCATAAATACTTTTACCAAATATACCAAAATCCATATATTTTAAAGGACTGTACTTATAAAACACTATATTTCCAATATTCTACATAATTTGTTTGTTGGCGAGTTGTGCAGGAGATACTATTATTTTAATACTCTTTAAACTTCACTTAAAATGTTAAATGACTTAGTCTTTATTATTATTTATAGGGTTTATTTGCTAATATTTGTTGTTTTGGTGTTACCATGGGCTATTAAAAAATACTTGAATTTTTCTTCTTTTTTGCTGATACAAAATACTGAAAATCTAGAACACTAAAAGATTCAGAGGCTTTCTCTGGGTAGGCTGACCTGGGGTTTTATAAGGGCCTGTACTAGCCTGGACTTTTACTTAAACTTTAAAATATAGCTCTACGACAATGTATCTAATTTACTTAGAACTCTCTAGCAATACCACTGAAACATCAAAATTTTTGTCACGAAATTCATTAATGAAGTAATGAGTAGCATGTGGTAATGCGTAACGGAACTAAAAACTTAAGATTCCTTTATAAATTATACGAATAAGTTATGTAAAAAGAACACCATCAACATCATTTCACTTCCAGAAAAAGAAAAACACTTGTAACTAAAATTATCGTAACCTATTCTGTCCTTAAGTTAATTACATCAATGGTCAAACAAGGACTACAGCATTGTTTAGAACGAGCAAAAACAAAAACTAGGTTTGAAAGAAAAACGTAAACCACATCTTGTTTCATTCAAATGTTATTGATAGTTAGAATGGCCAATTTTAGCTTTTAAAAATGCTCCCTAAAGTAAATACTAAGCCAAGTCAAATACTGAAAAAGTAATGCTGGTAATAATAATTAGTACTCAACAACTAGCATTCTGATAATCCCTAATAATATCTACTCACTTTTTTTATAATCGAAATTTTAAACCTATGCACAAACTTGATACTGACGTTAACACAGCTACGAGTGTGACAGTGTTAACAACAGATTGTCTCCTTTAGAAATTTCACATTTTAAAATGTTTTATGCATTATCAAACATCAAAATGAATCCAGAGAAAATACTTAAAAATATTTGTGAATTATTATTTCAAATTATCTATTAAAAAGCAATGCCCCATGATGAGTTGTTTAAAAACAATTCAATTTTTATTCAGTAGTCATTAAAAACGCGACATGCAATGTACTTTCTCCCTTCAATTGAATTTTAATGATTTATTTTAATATACGTGTAAAATTATTATAGTAATATTGTGTTCAGTTGTGTTAATTGTTTCATCATATCAATAATATTGCCTTCTGGTGGCTCAGCGGTAAGTCTGTGGGCTTGTGAGTTATAGATATAGCGCTAAAAATCACATTTCAATACCGTAGTAGGCAGAGCATAGACAGACCAGTGTGTAGCTTTGTGCTTAACAACAAACCAGCAAATAATAATAATGTTATTTTATTACAAGTTACATCTTTTACAGAAAGGAAGAATATCTTTAAAACAGGTATGAAGTTTCGATCACTGATGTGATCATTCTCAAGTATACAAGTGAGTTAAAAATTGTGTACTTAAGAATAATATAATATAATGCAACAAGGGACATATTAGTCCATCTCGGCATCACATCCTACAAACTAAACTATTGTTACGTCTCCGTTTGTTAATTGATTTCCCGTAACTTCGTTCAGACGAAACTTAAGCGACACAAGTTCTTTCTTAATAAAAACTGGTTTATTCTTTCTGAATATAACTTTACCGATACACTCAACTTCAACAATCGCGCTAAACAAACGCTATAACAACGAACGTGCTCAATAATACTTCTGACTGCAGATCAATTACTCACTGTCTACACACATTACATTCCCCTCTTTTATATACCAGCCTACCCTATATCTAGTAAGAACT